AGAAAAAGAAGTGAGGAATACAAACTTTATTCTGGCAAATATGAGTATTAGATAATTTATACTTTATATCTAAAGCATGACCAGATGCAGATTTAACCATATGAGTTGTTTTTCAAAATATTTAGTAGGTACAAGACCTTCTTGAATGCAACTCACATCAACGCCACTATCAATCATAGCAATGTTAGTTATAGAAAAGGTATTATCAATTAATATAGTACATTTAACATACCATTTATGAGCTGTAACAATTTGCATAATTCCTAAAAACATATTTTGTTTTGGATCAATATTCAAAGTGTTGGCAAGAATATTTTCTTCAGCAGTAGTTTCATCATCAACCTTATTTTTTCCTTTGCTATTAGCAGACTCAATCTGAGTAAGACGGTGATCATAAATAATATGATTTTGTTTAAGAAATTTAATTTCTTCCTTCAAATGTTCAATTTCTCCTTTTAAATCATCAAAAGAGGTATCACGAATAACCATGGTTTGTTTAGAAGAGAGTCTATTATGAACTTCAGACAAGGAGTAAGGAGCAGAATAATTAAAATCATCTTTAACCTTTTTATCACTAGAAATACTATTTGAAGAGCTAGTTTTACTAGCAGCCAATTGAATGATCTTTTCACGAAGAGTATTATCGGTAACTTCTTTTAGAAGTTCTATCACATTGTCTGCAGTGATAGTGAACATATTCATGTCTTCAAACTGAGATTGCAATTTGTAAAATTCATCATGTTCGCAGTGACAAGTATCACCATGACATTTGCAAGCATCATTCGAATCTGGTTGAACCTTACTAGATGACTCAGGTTGCTCATCCTCCGTTGCATAACTTGCTTCAGAATCATCATAATCTGATTCGGAACCTGAAGTATATAGAAAACTATAAATCTTCTCTTGAATATCATCATCAAGTTCTAGAGTCTTAAGCTTTTCTAGCTTACAATTTGGAGCTATATGCCCAAATTTTTCACATTTATAACACTTAATCTTATCAAGATTTCGCTTGGATCTATTCCTGGTAAATCTATGAGATTTACGATGAGTCCTACGCTCATCTCTTTCTTCTCTAGTCCTTCTTCTAGATCTTCCTTTCTTATGATGAGATCTATGATATTCTGATTTAGAAGTTTCTCGGTGGGTGCTTTTTGAAGCATCCGGTAAACCGAATTGAGTACAAAAATCTCCTAATTGAGACCTTTCTTTAAGCTTATCCATCTTAAGCTGTCTTGAGAGTTTTAACTCATTGCACAAATTTATGCCTTCTTGCGTACAAGCCCCAATAAGCTTTCCATAAGTGAAATCACTATAGGGAATAATTCCTTGTGAATTTCTAAGAGTCTTTTTTACTCTTTCTGCAAATAAAGAAGGTAAGCCATCAATAAATTTGGCTTTCCAGAATTCTAAACCATTTTCGGGAAGTTCCATTACCCGACTTAAATAAGTGTCTTTATACCATCTAAACTCACCTAAATGTCTACATCTAAGACCATTTAGAAGAGATCTAATGGTTTCATATTGATTGGTAAATCTACCACTAAAATGTTCAAGAATAGTCAAAATAAGTGTATACACAGCGTCTTCTCTATTTTGAACAAGGGCAGAGCCTAAATTGTCATGACCTTCATTTGTTGCCTTAGCATTAATTACTGCTGCTCTGGCATCAGAGGGCATATAATTATCCCACCATCCTCTTAGTTGGCCGGTAAATCCTGCAATAATCATCTTGCAGATGGTCCTGTCAGTGTTATTGACACTTTTGCAAATAGTAGCATACATAAGCATCCTATGAACCATAATCGTCAACTGCCTATCAGTTAGCCCATCGAGATTCCATTCATAAATCTCACTTCCACTATAAGAAGTGTTAGTTTGATTCCAATCTCTTTCCTCTATTAAAACATCTTGAGGAGTAGGCCTGGAATAGTAATAAGTTTGCATGCTAGGTTTTCTAGCATAAGCAGTATTACCACTATTTTTCTTTGGATAACCATGAAGTTTATTAACTTCCATTTCCATTTGAGTTTTGAAATCAAAAGTGGCTTCCATCTCATCTGCAAAATCTTCAGCGAGACTTATCGGTTTCGCACTTGCACCAAATTGTGAAAACTTTTTATCAAGAAGATTTTCAAGGTCGTGCAAAGGTCTAAGAATAAAATCCTGAATCTCAGGAGGCCTTTGAATATGGACATCAGGTTGTTTTGACGAAGAAGCCTGTTCCGAAACTTGTTTTACAGATTTTAGCTTACTATCAATTTGAACAATCAGATTAGACAGGTTATCTAATTTTTTGTCTATAGAACAGATATGTTCACCAATAACTTTGACATATAGGCCCAAATAATTATTTTGAGAAATAAGACGATTAATTTCATTTATACTTACTGCGGCGACATCATTATCAATAAATTTATGAAAAGCAGTAAAAGAAATACCAGTATTATTGGGTAAAATAAACGGAGCTTGAGGAGGATAAATAGATTGAATAATATTACCCGATTCATCTTTGTAAGATCGTTCAAGAACGTTGATAAACAGGGGCAAATAAGTGGTTATAAACCAAGGCACAAAAAACATAATATGATTATGTAATGCACAAGTTTCATAAAACTCTTGAGAAATATTATTTATATCTTCTTTACTATAAGTGTCAAAAAACCAAGTTTTAAACCGGTTCCATTTTTCATTTAAAAATTCATTTTGAATATATTTTCTTGCCAGTGAACCTGGACTAAAATCAATTTGATGTTCACTCATCATTAAGTATCATTAAGATTAAAATCCATCTCGGATACAGAAGGAATATCCTTATCAGAAATATCAGATGCTTTATCATTCGTTTGGACAATGTTTAATCGAGGATCAATTTTAATTTTTTGTTTTTCTGCAGATATAACTGTTGATAAAGTATGTAAAGAAGCAGCGCGATTTCTTGCTAGACCATAACAAGGTTCTATCGGAGAAATATGTTAAATAGCTAGTCTTCTATCAGAAGCAAAAGAATGTCTACTATAAGGAATACTTTTTTCATCAAACTGCATATAAATTTTTCCATCGGAATTTTGACTAATATGAGAATATTCAGAATTAGTGACAGCATCGGTCATTTGCTCAGGGGGTATAACCGAATCTAAAATCCAAGTGGTAGGAAAATTAATTTCTTCCCATTTTATAGGTCTTCTAGTAGTGACCTTAGATCTGGCGAAATTGGTTTCTACTAAAATAGTTTGATCAGATGTATCATATAACTTACATCTAGGATTCAAAGTAGCAAGTAATTTATAATAGATTCTATACGACAAGCAAATTAATTCAGATCTAGGTGCATAGTTATAACCATGTGTTTTAACATTTAAGGTTAAAGCATCTAATATATTAGAATCAGTCAAAGATAACTGCAAATTGGGCTGAGCATTAAAATAAACTGGACCATAGGCCACCGTAGATTCTATCGAACCCATCAAGGATTGACGAAAATTTAAATTCCTCGCATCTCGTAGAGCAGCTAAAAAAGTCTCTGGTAACCCTTTAAGAGTTAAAGGTTTAAAAGCAATTTGAACCATGCCAATATGCAAAAATTTATACTGAGATTTATATAATTCAATATCACGCTTATTTAATAAACGAATAGTTTGTTCGGATGAGTTTAGCGCCAATGATTGTTCAGTTGTTTTAATCAACTGTTTATTAGAAATCTTATCAAACCAACCATAATCATAAATGATTTTTATATTAACTTTCGGAATAGTCCATTTGTTTAACAAATCAAGATTTTGAGGTATATCTACCTCTTCTAGTCGAGTGCTTTTAATATCTTCTTGATCCATAAATGGATTGAATATATCTATGCCGAAATTCTTCACATCAATTATATATATACCATGAAAGTTTCAAGGCTCTGATACCAACGATACAGGATCACTGATCTGGCGGTAGTCCGCCAGGTCATAGATCAAGCAAGTCAATATCCTTAGAGGTAGTCCAACTACATAAGAATCGAAATACACAAGAATTTTAACATAGTTTCTCAGACTGCATGGTTTAATTATTTTACCCAATCAAAGGGTCTGTCAAGAAGCTAATACATACTTTTATTAAGCTTATTGTCTGATAGTTCTAACCGGGTATGAGACGCCCTACTTATCAAACTCAATTTCAGGCTAAAAACCACGGCTCATCAGACGGAGTCATAAAGACAAAGCCAATAAAAGTAGTACTAGATCTGACTATACCTCAATCTCGGAACCAAGTCGAGAAGCCATACTAAAATTCTTCTATATTTAAATAAAGCTTAGATCCATTCATGGTCTATATAAAAGAGAAGTTAGTTATCCGGCATAGATATAATTTTTTAGCCGGACATAGTCACGGTTTAATTCAGAAATAAAAACTTGAAAATAAAAGGAAGTACCTTGTAGCAAACAACACACTTTACTATTCCTCCGGCCAAAGTTCGGTAAGGTTACAATACTTGAAAATATAATTATCCCACCATCCTGTGAATTTCTAAGAGTCTTTTTTACTCTTTCTGCAAATAAAGAAGGTATGATATATATATTATAAAATGTCTTTAAGATATTTTAAGTTGTTAATTATTATTATTTATAATACTTTTTTGGTAATTTTAAAATGATATATGTTATTTTTTCTGTCCCAATATATGTGATCCGAATAGAATTTTGAAAGTGAACCTATTTTATTATATATCCTTTAAATATGAAATATTTTAAGTCATTTGTAAATGATTTATTATATTATATTATTATATATTATATAGAGAGTTTATGATTGGACATCACAATGTCCCATCATAAACTCCCTCTTATATAATAAGAGAACCTATAACGCCCAGGAGGCTAATGTCAGTTATCAACTTATCATTCATATTTTTCTTTTCCTACAAAATACAAACTATTAAGAAAAATTTTATTTAATACTAATAACTAATAATGAATATATAATTCATATTTTTATACTCCATAACATCAATGAATAATTTTGAGGGTTTAGTGCTTTGTTTGGCTTGAATATTTTTGAGGGTTTAGTGCTTTAGGTTTCGCCGCCGCCGTTCAAGTTCCTTGCCACCGCCGTTCAAGCTCCCTCACAGTGATGGAGGGGATTGAAATGGAACTGCCTTTCCCGGAGAACTCGTCAGATGACTTCTGCAATACTGTATTATCACAATTTTGCGATTCCAACAATGAGCACCACGTCCACATCTGCACCGCCATTGGTACAATGTCACAGGAGCTCAGAGAGCAGAGTTTTCCTCTTACGCCAATTGCTTACTTCGGTGCTACTTGTTCCTCACTCCAAACCCTATATACCGCTGCCCCTGAAGGACCGCCATCCCATCTTATTGATGCTCTTTCCACGATTTTGTCTCTCGTTATTCCTAGAATAAACCAAGCTATGTTGAGGAAGAAGTATGAATATTTATCTGATGTTATGATTCAACTTCTTGGATTGAAGACTATTGGTATTGAAGGGATTGTTTCGTGCTTGAAGTGTGTTGTGCATTTGCTAATTGTTGGAGCCAAGGGGAACTGGTCTGATGTCGCTCAACTTTATGGTCTGTTTATTGGGTATATAACAGATGATCGGCAAAAGGTCACTACTTTTCTTTATTTAACAGTTTTGATAAGAAATTTAATGCATTCCCCTCTAGTATCATGCCTTTCTTTTGGTTAATCTATCAAGCGCATCTTTAACAATATGGAAATTTCATTACATGAAAAGACTCGGTCTTTATCTTATTTAGTCCATGTTTCTTAGGTAGAGCAGCAGACTATAGTAAAAGTAATTATTTTAAAGCGCAAAATGGCTTTCTCAACTAAGTAACAGACTGCTGGCACAAGCTTAGTAGCTTCCTATGTAATGATACAATTAGTAGGATGCATGTTTACAGAATCCAGTCATCTACAATTTTGATCGATTTTCAATTTCTTAAGTCATGATGTTAACACAGTTATATTGATTATGTCATAAAAGACGAGTATGAGCAGAATGATCTTCTTGTGGGTCAATAATCAATGTAATGTGTATTTCAAAAGTTATATGCGTACAGCCATGCCCAGCAACTCTGATCCTTTTATTTGGATTCCATAGTAGTTACTACAAAGAGAAATTAAGATTTTAGATTTGAGATTATTTTGTCAACAAGTGTTTGGTGTGATAACATAAAAAGGAATGAGAGAATACAACCATAAAAACAAATGAAGGATTTTTTTTTTATAGATTTACATGGATGCCAATCCCCTGCAAAGGCAGAGATTAGAGAATATGGAAGCTATGATGTAAAAATGGTATCTGCTTGCTTATAGTATTATGGATAATATTCTTGCTATTTTTAGCCTTTACATAATGCTTCAACTCAGAAGTTAGGAAGATCAAGTATATTGTCAGTGATTTTTCTTCTGTTTTGGGTTGGTCAATTGAATAGGTGAGGAAGATGTCACATAATTGTCTACGTGATCTCCTGCAAAACTTTCAGTCATCATCTGTGCTTGCTCCTCTATTGGCACCTGCTAGTGAGGCAATCACAAATCTCTTTGAAAGGTCCCTTCTTCTTGCAGGAGGAACAACTGTAAATGCCTCTGAAAGACCCAAAGGAGCACAAGAAGTCTTACACGTGCTGGATGCTCTGAAACTTTGTCTTCCTTTTATGTCTTCAAAGTACTTGAATAGCACTTTGAAGTACTTCAAATCTTTATTGGAATTGCATCAGCCTCTTGTTAATAGGCGCATTACAGATGGTTTGAATGCTCTTTGTATCCATCCAACAGCAGAAGTATCTCCAGAAGTGCTTTTGGACCTCTTGGGTTCATTTGCTGCTTCAGTTTCTGCAAATGAGTCATCTGCTGATACTTTGACATTCACAGCTCGCTTACTTGGCATTGGGATGAGAAAAGTATATTCAATTAACAGGCAATTATGTGTGGTTAAGCTCCCTGTGGTGTTCAACTCTCTTAGTGGTGGGTTTTTTTCCCCCTATTTTCTTACCTTGCATAGATTGCACACTTCTGAATAAAATAATATTAAGAATTCAATTTGTTTCATGCAAAATAAAGAGGGGGATAAAGTCTTTCACTTCACCTACCAGTTTAGTTATTTTCCTGTCCAATTCTGATTTTGGTAATTGTTGTTTCATTATTACTTATTTACTTTATGGTCTTTCAGATGTACTGGGTTCTGAACATGAGGAAGCTATAAGGGCTGCGCTGGAGGCACTCAAGAGCTTAATACATGAATGCATTGATGAAAACTTGATCAAACAGGGTGTGGATAACATAATTAGTTCGAATACTGATATGAAAAAATCTGGACCAACTATCATTGAGAAAATCTGTGCCACAATTGAGAGCTTGCTTACCTATCACTATGCAGCAGTCTGGGACATGTCATTTCAAGTGGTGGTTGCCATGTTTGATAAGCTAGGTGAGTATCTTTTAAAAAATATATAGCCATCTTAAGTTCTAAAACTCAATAATTAGTTTCAAATTTGTTGTCTATAAATTATTTAGTGTATATAGTTTTTGACACTAATTCAAATCAGGTTTCATGGATTTGGACTTCCTAAAATGATATCCACTTTGATAAAACTGCGTACTTATTATTGCTTCTTTCCTTCTTAGTATTCTACTAATGATCATGCCTATAGTAAGTGACTTATCGTTGGACGGAATTGGTGATGTAATGAGCTAGATTTAATTCTCGTTTTGCTTTCTTCCTATACATCAACCAAGGAATGACAAGCAAAGTGGTGTTTTTCATTGACTTCTTTTTAGGTTGCTATTCTTCTCACCTTCTGAAGGGAACACTACAGAGTTTGGCTGATATGGAAAAGTTGCCAGATGAAGACTTCCCTTTCCGTAGACAGGTGAGCCTTGCTTTTGGGGTTGTTTAATCATGGAAATGGCTTTTGTCGTGTTAGCCATGATGTCATGGGGGGAATCCTTTTTTCTTTTTCTTTTCTCCCTCACCTATTTATTCTTATGTTGCTGCTATTTACAATTCAACCTCTTAGGCATCAGTTTGTCATTTTTCTTATTGGATATCTGACTGACAATGAGAATTTGTTTTTGAACATTGGTAAAGTTGTATTCTTCCGTATTAAGGACATGCTGGCCACCTTAAAAAATTTACTGCACTAACCAAAATTACAAGCTCCCTATTAATATAATTTGATCTACATCTTTTATATAGAGCTATTTACACCGAAAAAGTAGTGATACCAAACAATTCCATTTTACTTTGTGAATGGAATTAGATCTATCTTCAAAACTAGCTTCCACCGCTTCTTTTGAGTCTTGCTACCTCCTTCTGATCCAGCAACTAAATAGGTCAGAAGTGTATGCTGGCATAGTCCAGCTGAAGCCTGTGATGTGAGGAACAGCTCCCAGATCTGTGTAGTGAATTTGCAATGTAGGAATAGGTGTTTGTTTTTTCCCCTATCAACTTGCATAGGAAACACCTAGGGACTAGTTGCATTCCTTTCTTCTGTAGGACTTCTTGAGTTGAGCAGGCTCTTTTGATGACTAACCAAGTGAAGCATTTCACTTTAGTGAAGATTATTGATCAAGTTGGTCTTTGCAATTAAAATAGTACAGTACTGTTACTGCTCAGTCCTTGGATTGAATGGAGATCTCAAAAATTGATAAACAATGTTTTATGATCCTAATACTTTAAATGTTGCAAATGAACACAAAATTTTTGTATGTAGAATAGGATCAGAAAGGAATTTTTTTTAAATGAACTACAAAAATGATTATATTAGCCAAATATTAAATATGTCTGATTGATAAAAGCAAGTTAATATTCTTTCATTAAAAAGACAAGCTAGTATTTTACATGCATTTAAATTTATTTTTCGTTCATTCCTTTCCTTAGCTACAATCTATCAAATTTATATGGATTTCTATCTGGATCAACTTGATTCACTAAATGAGTTAATAATAGAACTTGATATGTAATTTTTTTTTTTGATATAGGTAATTAACTGTTTCTATTTCTGTAACACAGTACATGGGTTGTACTGAACCCATATTTACAAAAGAACTCAAAATCTACTGTCCTATCCTTATAATGAGTCTTAACTCTTAAGACATCAATGATAGAGACAATATCATTAGAGTATATGTGGTTACACCAAAAACATAAAGTCAAAATACAATTTATTTTGGCTTGTTCTATAGTATTCTCCATATTCTCAAAGACTCTAAGGTTCCTCTCCTTCCATATAGCTGCAGGTACAATTCTCCATTTGTTTCTGTTTTTAGTGTGAACTCCTTGCTTCTTCCCAACTGTGTAATGCTTCTGTGATTTTCCCTGGCATGGACCAAGATATGTTTTTGGGACATATGAATAATCTCCATAGTTGACTTGTGACCTTGCAGTGTATAAATAGATGAACCACTGTTTCTGCAGTTTCCACACAGAAACATCTCGAACATAAAGGGATCCCCTTTTTCATCAAGTTATCTTGTGTCAGCACTACTTCCTTAACCAATAACCAGACAAAGCAAGCTACTTTGTGTGGGATTTTGGCTTTCCAAATTTGTTTCCAAGGCCATCGAAGTATCTGCTGGTTTAGTTGAAGGTTGGTTCATCTTCCTGTAAGCGGCATTTACTTTAAAAGTCCCGTTACTATTTCCCTGCCACTGTAGGATGTCTTGTCCGGCCTTCAAACCACTGAATTGGTCGATGGTGCTGAAGAATTTTGTTACTCTTGGTATTTCCCAATCATTGAGGTGTCTCCTGAACACAAAATTCCACCCATGAGGTGTCCACAATTCTGCTATTGTGCTCTCTAGGAATAATGTCTCCATGTTGCTTGCTTCATGCCAATCATAAGACAGTTTTAACTCCATTTGTCACTTTGACTATGGTATAAACTTTGAATTCATTTCACAAAATTCTGATAGATTTCCATAAGGAGTAGTGACCTCCTTTGTCATCCAATCATCGCCTCATATTTAGCTTTAATGACTCTAACCCATAGACTTCGATTTTCATTTGAATATTTCCATGACCATCTCATTCTTAAAGCTTTACTCTGATTCTTTAGAGTTTTGATCCTCATTCCCCCAAATCTTTTCTCATTGATCATTGCCTTCCATTTGACTAGGTGGTAACCCTTCCTGTCTTTGTTCCCTTGCCATAGAAATTTCCTCTTGATGCTATCCAACCTATTGATGATTCCTGGTGGGATAGGAAATAATGACATCATATACGTTGAAAGTGCATCAAGCACAAAGTTTATCAAGGTCAATCTTCCACCCATGGAGAGATATTGGGACTTCCACCTTGCTGACTTCTTCTCACAAGTTTGTGCGGAAAATTCTAGAAAGCATAGAATGTAAAGACAAAGGATGGAGTAGCATTTTAGTTTTCGTTCGAGACATCTTGGACTGATGTTTTATATATAACGTTTTATTCGACAAATGGCATAACCCTCTTGATAAAAAAACAGGTTTGATCCCTTTTGCCACCAACAAGAGAATTGACTTGGAAAAATATAGAATAGAGATGCTTGAGAATTAAAAAGAGTAGTTGAGACCTAGCAAAGAAAGGATCAACAAACTCCTTCTGTTGATGATTGTTATGTCATGAAATATATTTATTTCTAAGTGTGAGATACACTATGAAAAACCACAATTTATTTCTAAGTGTGAGATACACTACAAAAATCATAAATTTGTACAAATATAATCAATGATTGTGTTGAACACTTGTTATAATTGCTCTTGATTTCTGGATGGTGCGTTTAATGGGTGTGCCTGGCCTTTTGCCTTTTGTCAACACCATCAATTTCCAAATGAGACCAACTTGATCTCTTGAATTGCCCTTATCATCATTATTTCCAATAATGTGATTCAATGCAACGAATTTGTATCATATGTTTGACAAAACATAAGTGTCATGGTAAGGATGATTTGACTAACATGTTGATTGCATTAAAGATTCAACTTAGGGGTCTCGAGGGTTAGCCCAGGTGAGTAAAAAAGGGATTGGTGGTGGAATGGAAAGGTCTAAGGAAAAGTGGAAGCCAAGAAGGTTAGACAGTGGAGAAGGATGTGAAGCTAGCAGACACGACATTTTTTGAGGACATGTATGAAGATCTTGAGTGCAAAGGCGGGAATATATAGTTGTATAAGCTTGCCAAGGTGAGAGAGGAGGCCATGTAACCTAGACCAAGTGAAGTGCATCAAGGACGATAATGACGAAGTGTTGGTGAAGAAGTGGCACACGTTATAAAATAAAACACCTACCCGATTATTCTGTATGGTTACACATTTATATAAAAGTCTTCAGTTATATTAAGAGAAACCTAATATTCGTTTCACTTAGTAAATTAGTTTTTAAAAAATCATTGACACCTCTACATTAGGGAAATTAAAGACATGTACTATGGAGTTAAAACAATGGAGGTGATTCAAAACCCCTCTCAATCATGATGGGATTGCATTAGGGATCACCCTTAGTCTGTTCCTATTTGCCTTTGTGATGGATGAACTGACACGACATATTCAAGGGAAGGTGTCGTGGTGTATTTATTCACATATGACAATATTGATTGATGAGATGCACGGTGGAGTTAACGACATGTTGGAAGTTTGGAGAGAAACCTTAGAGTCTAAAGGTTTCAGATTAAGTAGGACTATGCATAGTACCTAGAATGCAAGTTTAGTGAAGATTGATGCAAAAGTCATACCCAGAAAGGAAGCTTCAAGTATCTTCGAACCATAATCCAAGGAAACAAGGAGATTAATGATGATGTCTCACATCGTATTAGAGTAGAGTGTATGAGATGGAGGCTCACATCCGTGGTATTGTGCCATAAGAATGTATCACTAAGCTTTAAAAGTAAGTTCTACAGGGTGGTGGTTAGACCAACTGTGTTGATGAGGCTAAGGGTTTGGACTATGGACAGGCAAGAACGCGCACATTCAGAAGATGAATGTAGGAGAGATGAAGATGCTCATATCAATGTGGGGGCAAACTAGAAGAGATAAGATTAGGAACAAAGTTATATAGGGTATGGAGGGAGTGGCCTTTGTGGCGGACAAGATGAAAAAGGTGAGGCTGAGATGATTCAAACATGTCAAAAGGAGGTGTGCGGATGCGCCAGTACGGAGGTGTGGTTGACTGTAGTGGTATTTAGGTGAGGTAGAGATAGACCGAAGAAGAATTTGGGGAGGTGATTAGACAAAGACATGACACAACAACATGACTGGAAGGCTAATGATTAGGGTAGAAGGTTAGTAGGTAGAAGAGTCTTGTCACACTCTCTGTGGCAGAGGCAGGGGGCCAACCTCCTCTCCTCTCATTCCTATTAGTAGTGATATTTAGTAATCATATAGTTTCTTGTTCTTCAATGTGTATTACTATTTGTTGCTTCATCTTCTTTTTTTTTTTTGTTGCAATCCTACTTCAATATACTTCGGAAACTTCTCTTTTGAGTTGATGGTCTATCAGAAACAACCTCTCTTCCCAACAAAGGTATGGGTAAGGTTTGCATACATTCTACCCCTCCAAAACCCCACTTGTGGGATTACACTGGATATGTTGTTGCTAACAATTTCTTTGATGAACAGTTTATTGCTCAAAGTAATGCTGGTTTTTGAAACATTAATGATTCTCGTATTCTCCAAGGTTTACCTTGTCCATCTTATTAGTCATGTAACGGAATATGTGTGGAATTTTGCACAAGTAAGATCTTACTTTATGTGGATCTTATTTCTCACCTAAAATTAGATTCAGTCGGAAAAAAGAACCATGAAAATCTGAGGCCTGCTTGGCAAGTTACTCAAATAACCTCCCGCTTCCAAAATATTGGCAGATACTGACCATGGTCCCTAACCATTATCCGTGGAAATATAGGTCGTGTCTTAGCAGGGGATCTTTGCCCTTGTGGAGTTGTTTTTTTCTGTTATTCCTTAATGTTCTTAGGGATATGATTTGTGAGTATCTGTTTAGCTATAACATTTTCTTATCTAATAGAATATGCTGATAATTTACGGCTTTGTTGATAACAGCTGCACGAATGTGTTGGATCAGCTGTTGGTGCAATGGGACCTGAATCTTTTCTTACTCTTCTTCCTCTTAAACTGGATGCACAAGATCTATCAGAATCCAACATCTGGCTTTTCCCAATTCTAAAGCAAAATATTGTTGGTGCGCATTTAAGTTTCTTTACCAACTCAATTTTGTCGATGGTTGCAGCTATGAAGCAGAGGTCTGCAATGGTATGTTTGATGCTAAATCACATCTCCTGCCCCTCCCTACTTTCTTTTATTTACACAGTGAGCTCATTCTTATGTTTTCTGCCAGCTTGAGCGCGAGGGAAAGATATATTCAGCGAGAACTATTGATGGAATTGTGTACTCATTGTGGTCACTGTTACCCTCATTTTGCAATTACCCTGTGGACACTGCTGAAAGCTTCAAGGATCTGGAGAAGGTTTTCCGCAAAGCTCTACATGAAGAGCCTGATGTTTGTGGGATAATATGCTCCAGTTTGCAGATCCTCATTCAGCAGAACAATAGTATTTTAAAAGGGAAAGTGGATTTGTCTGATACTGAAACAAGCGTTTCCAGAGAACGAGCCATTGCACGTTACAACCAGCAAGTTGCAGATAATAACTTGAACACATTGAGCCTTTCTGCTCAGAAACTGCTGCCTGTTCTCTATGACGTCTTCTTGAAATCCTCTAAAGATACTGGTGGATTTTTGCAGGTTTGCTTAAAAGAGATACTATTACCCCCTGTTTAATAGTGATGGATGATATTCTTTTATTGATGTTTTAATTGATATATGAATTCTTGGATCACAGTCACAACTGCTTTAAAGAAACAGTGTACAATGAAAAGGGAAAAAAGAAAAGAAACAAAATGCATATTCTGCATATTATCATAGTGTCATGTGAGAAACAAAAGAAGCTTGTTGGAACTTCGTCTTTCAATAATAGTTTGTGGGCCTGTAGCTATTTCGACCACTCTGACATTTTTGTTTATTGCTTTTCCATATGATACTTGATATGAAAGGAAATCAATCTTTTTTTTCTTTTCTGCTCCAATGATGTTATCAAGTGATGGCTCCAAAAGGCTGCATCTCTTAACTGTTGTATGTATATCCTATAAAAGTGATGGAGTTGAGCCAAGGAAACTGTGATCAAGCTGCATCAACCTACTATACTGTGCTTCAAGTAAACCCAGACTCAGCACATGAATATATTAAAATTTCAATATATTTAACCTTACCTTGATATATTATTAACATAACATTATTTTACATCTAAAATAATTATTAACATTATGTTATCCATATCTTTTTTTTCTTTTGCAAAAAGTATTTGAATCTGTGTCCAAGTTTAGACTGCGAATTGGTCAGTTCGATCCTTTCGCTCCAAATCAACACATTATTGTTATGGAGGTAGTAGGTGTTATTGATTTAAGAAGAAGGGTATCTGTAAGGTTCTGCCTAACCTTTGTCCTTGCTCGTGTAATTTTTTTTAATTTGCACTTTTAATTATCCGTCACATTACATAAGTTTCGACTGAGATCCTTGATAGTATTGCCACATTGTCGATTGGAGGAATGCTATCTCATAGTATTTCATTTTCTTTTCAGCTGTTGACAAGGTCTGTTTATTGGAATCCAAAAGATTGTGTGCTAAACATTTTTCTTTTTCTGTCTGGTTTGTTTGATGATGCATGTAGAGAAATCATTATTGGTGAATTGGCAATTCTATTTTTTCTAAATTATTAATATCTGAAAATTTGAATTGCTTTTTAGAAAAACTAGTGAAAATATTTTGCTTGCTCAGTTTTTTTGATAATGAGTATTAAATACAGAGAACAATTGGTGTATTGGCCTCTATTGCTGACAAAGTGAGAGAAAAGAGTCTCGACCAATCCAAAGGAAAAAGAAGGGTGGTAAGAGTGCTATTTACGAAAATCATGCAGAGGCTTTTGGAGGTGACCCAAGAAGTTGGGGAGGCAGGGAAGGACAAAAAATCGCATTCAATGCAGATTGATGACTCATCCAGTAAAAGTTCTTTGTTGGAGAGGTAGGATGATTAAATCACATTTGTTTCATTCCTTCTGCCGTCAAGCCCTTTTTCCTTTTGTGTTAATGACATCCATATCTCTTGCTGCTACCATTTAGGGCACAGTTGTTTGACCTGGCAGTTTCATTCTTGCCTGGTTTAAATGCTCAAGAAATTGGTGTGCTGTTTGGTGCTTTAAAGCCTGCTTTAAAGGTTGGTAGCAGTTGTGGCTTTGCTTCTGCACTTTTAGCTTCTCGATGTCGAAAGTTTATTAACTAATATGAGGCACAGGACGAGGAAGGCTTGATCCAGAAGAAGGCATATAAAGTTCTCTCCATGATCCTTCAGGTAAGTTTTTTCCCCAAGTAACATGAAGTTATTGTTGCCTCGACGGTTATATCCAAAAAATTAGAAACGATTTCAAGATAACTTGTGAGTTGAGTAAGCTTTGTAAAATATCATTATCATGGTTCAAAATATTTGGAGGAAAGGCGATTCAGGCCTTTCATGTTAATGCAGTCATTTGATGGTACCCAATTGAATTAAATTCCAAGGTTGAATGTAGCATGAAATTAATATATTCCCTTGTCCTTGTTCTGAAGCAAGTAATCTGAACTATAATGTTAAAGCACCTCTTTTATGATTCTTAATTATATTTTTGACACATTTATTTTGTGACTAATAAGTTTTGCAACTTCTGTGTACAGGACTGTGATGAATTTATTTCAACGAAGACCGAAGAGTTGCTTAATTTGATGATTGAAGCACTACCTGCCTGTCATTTTCCAGCCAAGCGTCACAGACTTGACTGCCTATACTTTTTGATTGGCCATGTTACAAAGGTGAGGATTATCCTCTTGTGGATAATACTAAGATGCCTCTGATTTATGCAAATTTTTACTAAATTTTGTGAAGTCTTTTAACAGTTTATTGCATTCTACAGGATGAATCAGAACAGAGGAGGCGTGACAGTATTACTTCTTTTATGACTGAAATTTTGCTTGCACTCAAAGAGGTATACTTATTAATTTTGATGGAGTTCCACTCTAGAGTTTACCCATATTTCTTTTCCATAAGAATTTATATGGCTGTTAATCTGTGAATTTGTCCTCCTGATTTTGTCCCATAGTTATGAAGTGGTACCAACCAGTTTGGTGACTGACTAAATGGAACATATGGAAACTCTAAACTTGTGTTGCAATAAGCAGTGCCATGAGATAATTTTCATGAATCATTTTGTGGGGACCTTGACTATAGAAAGTGCACAGTTCATGTCATCAAACTTTTAAGAGTACCTAGCCTATAGCCTACGTGTGCTATTAGTTAATAAATGTTTGTTAGTATTTACATGTGAAATGACATTCTAAAGTACAGTGAGCTAAGCATTAGTCTTTGTAGGATTCTGATGGAATATGATTGCACAAACTACACTTGTAACCTCATTTTTGTTCTCTTATCTTTTACCTCCATCAATTTACAGTTACTCTTTCATTTGTTGTTCATAGCCTAGCCTTGAATGGTCTTCGATTTCTCTTTAAGATTGGGTAACTTAGCAAAAGCGTCAAGTTAGTTCCTAAAATAGTTACTTTCTTCTTTCATGCATATGATCATTTTGCTATGAGTTCTTTTAGAAGTTCATAACGTAATAATTTCTCACCATTAACTAGTCTTGGCTGCATAACTGGAAGGACAGCTATATTGTTTACATCATAATTATTTGATTTATGTGCTGAGTTATTTGATGATTCCATATAAGGCTAACAAGAAAACAAGGAACCGAGCGTATGAGATTCTTGTCAAGATTGGCCATGCTTGTGCAGATGAGGACAAAGGTGGCAGAAAGGAGAACCTGCATCAGTTTTTTAATATGGTATGACAAGTAATAATTTGATGAATTTATGTGATGAAGTAGGATCTTTCAGTTTGACATAAGCATCATTGTTGTTGATGTTTCGCTTGCAGATTGCTGGGGGTCTTGCCGGGGAAACACCTCATATGATCAGTGCAGCGGTTAAAGGCCTAGCTCGACTTGCTTATGAATTTTCAGACCTTGTTTCTGCTGCTTACAGCGTCCTACCATCAACATTTCTTCTCCTTAAGAGAGAGAACAAAGAAATAATTAAGGTGTGTTTTTGTCTGTATTAGGACACTCTTCGAACTATGTTCACCCGCCATCTTATGAATGTCACCTGAAACTTGTCTTGACTGCAGGCTAATTTAGGGCTGTTGAAGGTACTGGTCACAAAATCGACTGCCGATGGATTGCAAGCACATTTAAAGAACATGGTAGAGGCCCTTCTTGGTTGGCAAAATAGTACCAAGAACCATTTCAAAGCCAAGGTTTTTGCTTTTCTTCTAGATCCTAAACTACTTTGGTTTGAGTTAGTTTTGGTTCCTGTATGCAATTAGTCCATCTTCAGTGTTCTTTTCTAATTTTGGTTTGTGGAATCTCTTTCCTGTTATGAAAATCTTAGCTGTTGATTGAAAGGTGGCTGGGTGCATGTTATGTTTTACAGGTTAAGCTGCTTATTGAAATGCTTATCAAGAAGTGTGGATTGGATGCTGTAAAAGAGGTGATGCCTGCAGGGCATATGAAACTCCTTACTAACATAAGAAAGGTTAGTTATGAGCTGGACTAAAACCTGTGAAAATGCTCGTGGGATATTAAATGTTCAGATGAGTTATTTATTCTTCTGATGAAAATGTAGATCAAGGAGCGAAGAGATAGGAGCCTCGCCTCAAATTCTGAGGAAAGCAAGTCCCGTATGACAAAAGCAACAACATCAAGGTTGGTTTCCTTTCCTCCATATGTACCTACATAGTGAAGTTGAGAACAAAACCTTTGTTGGTTGGAACAATTTATTTATCATGAAACAAATGTTTGTTGTGGTTTCCTTTCCTCCATATATACCTACACATATTGGATGGCTGACACATGGTGAAGCGACTAAAACATGTTGGAGTATTTTATATACCTTTGTTGGTTGGAACAATTTATTTATCATGAAACAAGTGTTTGCCTCTTTTTGACTGTTTGTGTTAGTGTTGAATGTTCAGATCTGTCCCAGTTAAGATGGACAATGACTCTTTGGTCTCTCATCTTTGTAGTTTGTATTGCATGGATAAGAAGTCATTTCAATGCCTTTGTATCTTGTCATGTATTATTTTAGTACTTGTGGTATTAACTTTTCCATCCTGTTACAGGCTAAGCAGATGGAATCATACAAAAATATTTTCTGAGTTCGATGATGGAGAATCTGAGAATAGTGATGCAGAATATATGGAGACGAAAACTACTGCTGGTCGTAGGAGCAAGGCTACATTAGTATCAGACTCCAAAGCATCTTTATTACGGTGAGTGGGAATGTTTTAAGATGTAATGTTCTACAGTACGTTGGAACTTGGAAGTTAAATATAATTTTTTAAAGGAAATTAATGATGCTTTGTAGCTTAGACTATTTCACATGTAAGATTAGTGGGTGTATGTCATATTTCCAGGTCCAAGAAAACACGGAAATTAGCCAAGAGTTTGCAGGAAGATCTGTTTGATCAATTAGATGATGAGCCACTTGACTTACTTGACCAGAAGAAGACCAGGTCAGCTCTTAGAGCATCTGGCAATCTCAAGAGGAAGCCTGAATCAGAAGATGAAGCAGAAATAGACTCTGAAGGCCGTTTGATTATTCACGAGGGAGATAAGAAGCAAAAACGAGTCAAGCCAGCTACTGATGATTTAGATGTAAGAAGCAAAGCAGGGAGTCGCTTTTCCGAGAGCTCAAGGAATTCTCAGAAACGGAGGAGAACGTCTGATTCAGGATGGGCGTACACTGGAACAGAGTATGCAAGCAAGAAGGCAGGTGGTGATGTCAAGAAGAAAGACAAACTTGAGCCATATGCCTACTGGCCCCTTGACCGCAAGATGATGAGCCGGAGGCCTGAACATCGGGCAGCAGCACGAAAAGGAATGTCAAGCATTGTGAAGCTAACAAAGAAGCTTGAAGGCAAGAGTGCATCATCTGTGCTGTCCGCAAAGAGATCTAAGACTAAAAAGAAAACCAGATCTCAAAAATAGAAGGATGAAGGTGAAGTCTGATTTGATGATGCTACGTCAAGATGGAGAGCTCTGTCCAGAGGCTCGGTAGTTTTCGTGCCATAGTTTGTACTTGGGGCTTCTGGATATCCAGTACCCTGTGTTTTTTTGCGTGTCCTTTTTTCATTTAATTCATCCATGTATATCACCTTCAACAGGTGATTTGTTTTTTTGATAGGGTTGTAGGTAGGAAATCGAGTGTACGTATGCAAATGCATTCAATACAAGCTACTTGAGTTGGTGAGTTATTGGTAATATATTATTGCAATATGCAATTACATAAAGTATATCCGAGTCATCTGTAATATACTAGTAAATTTATTGAATGCATTTGATTTGCATTTTGCAGTTTTAACCAAGAGGGATTTCCTTTCACACTTGTTTGGATGGTTGTTACCCATTGTATTGTATTACTATATTGTATTGTTAATTTAAATATAATATTTATTTTGATTGTTACTTAAATTCTATTGTATTGATCCTCAATAGCCGGAGACAAAAGATTCATATGAGATAACATTAAGTAAACGGGCCTCTACTTGAGCCTCCAAGGATAAAGGTACATGAACAATCATTTGATCTCCTTCAAAATTGTCATTGAATCCCTTTCAAACTAATGGATGTAAACAAATAGAGCGCCCTTCCATTAAAACGGGCTGGAATGCCTATCGTTTAAATTCATCGTTAGCCAACTATTAAAAGTTACATAAAATGTAACGATTGATTTGGTGTGATTGTGTTATCTTAATTTTCTTCTCTTTTTATCTTTATTTATCCTTTACCCTACTTTCTCATAGTATCCTACCTAGTAGGTTTATCACTCAAATTTTGATGTATGACATTATGTAACGACGGATCAAATTCTTGATGTATAACATTATGTAACGACAGAGAACGATATAATCTAAAACAATACAATACAATACAATATGATACGATACATTATGAAACAATACTTAATAATCATCCAAACAGTGACAATACTTAGCAGGCCTTTGCTATATGAAGATTTGAGTTGGCCTCTAGTTGTTTACACTCATTATATCTAGTTCACCAAATTGCGGATAGTCTCGACGTTCATAGATCTTTCTTGTCAGCTAAGATCTTCCAATATAATATTTCATAATTGACTGCATTCAACGTTTATTCCAATTCTGTAAACTTTTTTCAAATGCAATAATCATGTTAATTAGATTTATTAATTCAGTTATAATTTCTAATTCCACTAATCTAAGCTGTAGGCATAGACATTCTTATATATGAAACTAAAGATGAGACCTTCCAGTTTCAGGTTTAATGTTACAAGTACGTCACAGTAGCAATGCTAAGCCTCTGGTAGCTTGCAACCTAATTAGATTGTAGTCTGTAGAGATAATGTAAGAATAAAGAATAAAAATGAAGATCATTAAAGAGCAGAGAAAAGAGGAACTATTGGGCAACAAAATCTCACAGCTGCAGGGACAACAACGTACTCACTCGGTCTAATCTCACAAGTAGAGTCAGAAGACGAGGATGTTTACACAGACCTTACCCCTACCTTGTCAGCCATATATACAAAACTCAAATGCACTAATAGATAGTGATCTTGAAAAAATAAAATGAGGAAAATTCATATACCAATACAGTCCCGCTTGTCATGTCCCGCCACTTCACTGTTCGAATTCGGCACCGGAATAGGAAGAAGAATCTAGAGTTGTGGAGAAGCTTATGCAGAACTCTAAAACCCCCTAGATATTTTCAAGAAGACTTTAGAATTCCCTAGAAAGTGTAGAGAATTCTAAAATATGAACTAAAGTGTAAATATAGAGGGACTTATATTATAAATATTATTTACCCAAAGACCCCTAAGAAGTAGTATAAATAGAGGCCTCCCATTTCGAAACTCATCAAACAAGTTGTAAGCCATCTTCCAAGCCATACAAAGCCTTTTTCCGAAACTTTCCAAATCTTTCCTACATTTTCTTAGCGATCTTAGTTCAAAGGGGATTTTGAAAGATTAGTGAATAAGTTGTCAAGTGCCGCATGGAGCTTTAGTGAGACTTTAAGTCCGTGACATGTCTCTGTCATATCTACCCAAGAAGGATTATTAGCTCAATTTACATAGTTTTTAAGCGTCAAATACTAAAAAGCACTTCTCAAATTCTGAAGTAGTTTTCTAAAATAAGCAATTACACGTTTTGGATAAAATGTTGAGGCAAATCAATTGTAAATGTGTTTGATAAACAAGTGCGGATAAGTATTTTTTTTCCGTTGAGATGACTGAAAGAGATCCGTCAATACTATTAAACATCTGATATTCTAAACTGATTCAAATATAAATTAGACTCAACCCAGACATTCTTAAAGAAGCAAAGAGACCAGTGTCAAATGGTATTAATAGGAAAACCGTAGCGGAAAATACTTATTTTCAGTGAAAATGGAAATTTTTATTGTTGTAGCGAAAACAAACACATATTTAGCCATGATATTATCTTAAACGAGAATGAGAACTGGAAAAAAAAAGCTACAGATTTTGTAATACAACCAACGTTGTCTTGTAATGTAACTTAAGATAACTATTGGCAAATTTTGATTCTGAAGCAACACATTTAATACTTCTATATACAGAAGAAAAATGATACATGAATTTAAGACCAATATTTCAGACTTTAAGGAGTGAAACCCAAGTGTTATGATTCTAAAGCAACACATTTAATACTTCTATATACAGAAGAAAAATGATACATGAATTTGAGACCAATATTTCAGACTTTAAGGAGTGACACCCAGGTGTTATGGAACAACTAGTGACAATTTTTGCAGCTTCATTGACAGATTGTTCATTGGCATAGTGCTGGCGGCAAACATGCATGTACATCTTACTGTTACTCGATTGCAGAAATTCACAATGAATTCAAGGATCGAAGCACTGTTTCAGGATTTCTCGAGAAAACAGTTAGTAAAGAAGAAGAAGAAGAAGAAGAATAGAAAGAGAGATTAGAAAGAGAAAGAGAATTATGTATATTCCATATATGATGTAACTGATGATTACAATGTCTATTTATAAAGAACTTGACTGACTTATTCCATCTAACACAAATCAATTACAACTAACATCTAACTAACTACCACTACACTGATTATTGTAGCTTAATAGTGTTTAACTAACTTTTGAATTCCAAATTACTGTAACAGTATGTTACGGAATGGAAGAAACTAGAAAGAGAAATTAAAGAGAGAATGAATGATAACTCTTTGTATTGATTCTTGCATTGATTCAAATAGAAGAGTACATCCCTATTTATAAATAATTAAGGAGAATCCTTCTAGATACTAAACTAAAATAAAACTAAATATTTTGCAATTAATGTAAACCCTAGACTTGAAAGGAAATTAAATACTATAAAATATTTTTAGACTAAAAAGAAAAAGTAAAAAAGATTCTACCAAATTTCAACATTCCCCCTCAATACTCAAGTTGGTATATCTAACTTGAGTTTGAACACTTAATTATTCTTCAAAAATATCTTCTAATAAAATTCATCCTCACATTCTTCTTCTACTAGTAATACTTGTGATTTATCTTGAGTGTCTTTGAACTTGCACACTTTTGTAACATGACCTGTTTGTTTGCAACTTCCGCATATTACATCAGATCTCCACTAACAGAATTTTTCCAAATGTGTTTTATTTTTGCAATATTTGCAAGGAATCAACTTTTCTTTTTTGATAGTTTGCATAAAAGATACCTTCAACAATTTTATCTTGTTTGAAAGTTCTTCTTTGTTCTTGTGCTTGAGAGCACTTATCAATTCAACAAGAGAGATGGTAGAGAGATCTTTAGACTCTTCCAAAGCAGAGATTTTAGACTCAAATCTCTCGGGAATAGTTACAAGAATCTTTTCAACTATGCTATTATCTTTAAAATCCTCACCAAGCAACCTGATTCTGTTGACAATCAAGGAAATCCTGTCAGAATAATTAGTGATAGTCCACCCTCTTGCATCCTAAGAGATTTAAAATCTCTTTTCAAATTTAGAATTTGATTTTGTCTGCCTCGTTCACTTCCTCGGTACTCCTTCTCAAGTTTTTCCCAAGCTTCTTTTGTTATCTCACATGCAATGATTTTAGAAAAGATTGAATCTGCAAATGAATTTTGAATTACAATTTTGGCTTTGTGTTTTATGATTTTCTCTTCTGAGTGAAGTTTGATTTCAGCATCAGAAGATTTTTCAGTGAGTTGTTGTATGGGTTTGTCTTCCATTACAACTTCGCACAAATCATAAGCCTCAAGATAAGACTTCATCTTAACTGCCCAAATTTGATAATTTTCACCATTGAAGGTTTGTGGGGCATTGAAAGAAAGAGTATTGCTTGTCATGGTTTGAAAAATAAGGTTTAAAATAATATAGATTAAAAGTTGGTTAAAAGTAGTCATGCGTTAAAAATAAAAGCACGGGTTAAAAGTGGGTTGAAAATAGATATGAATTAAAAGTGGTTGAAAGTTCTTCTTCAACGAACTCACAGATCCATTAAGATCAATGTAAGGATCTGATACCACTGTTATGGAATGGAAGAAACTAGAAAGAGAAATTAAAGAGAGAATGAATGATAACTCTTTGTATTGATTCTTGCATTGATTCAAATAGAAGAGTACATCCCTATTTATAAATAATTAAGGAGAATCCTTATTAAAGGAGAATCCTTCTAGATACTAAACTAAAATAAAACTAAATATTTGCAATTAATGTAAACCCTAGACTTGAAAGGAAATTAAATACTATAAAATATTTTTAGACTAAAAAGAAAAAGTAAAAAAGATTCTACCAAATTTCAACACAGTACTCCCCCATACAAAAGATCTTTGTCCTCAAGGATCAAAGGATGGAAACCTTGTTTTCAAAATGGTAGCAAATTCCCAAGTGGCTACATCAGCGAGAAGACCAACCCATTTAACCAATAACTGAGCAACAACCTTGTTGCCCTTCTTGACCATTATTCGCTGTAAAACAGACTCCGGAGTAGGGCAATTTGGATTGGCTAGGTCAACAGTCGGAGGATAAGAAACGTGGGAAGGCACTCCATAACACTTTTTTAACAACGAGACATGCACATTTGGATGAATCTTGACATAACGAGGCAACAAAAGAGTGTAGGCCACAGGGCCAACCTTCTTAATGATCTGAAAGGGACCATAGTATTTAGCAACAAGCTTATGAGAAAAGTGATGAGAGATAGTCGCTTGTTTGTACGGATGCACCTTAAAGTAGACCCAATCCCCTACAGCAAAATGCCTCTCACTTCTATGAGAATCTGCCTGCTGCTTCATTCGGAGTTGAGCTCTATGCAAATGATGCTTAAGTAGTTGCAACTTAAGTTC